ATGAGGTTCGTTTGTTTTTAGCTATAGGAAGAGCATCCTATATTTTGCTGACCATACCGTATCGTACCACGATATCATTCTTTTTCAGGTACCTCGCTATCCACTCAGTCACACCTGAAACATCACTCAGAATGTGATCCAAATGATAGACTAATTACAAAAAAAATCTTGGTGAATGCAATTTTGCGAGAACTCACTACACTAAAGCGTGAAAAGACATGAATTTAAAAGTGTATTTACGGCGACACAAACTTGGAATTTGATAAAATTGCTGAATGGGACGTAAAAGCCGAATTGAGAAGGAAACTTCACATAGTCAGATATTGAAGAGTATATTGGAGAAGAACCAAGCAGCAAATCAATTTATTTTTTTATCGATTACACATGGTTAGACATAAATGTAACACATATAGATTATGGAGTGAGTCGCTGCATAGGCTTTGCCTTTTTCGAATCCTATTAGCGGTTTTCCAGATGCGGAGGGGCAAGTCAAGACCAATTGGCTTGCTAGATATGTTCAAGAGTCGGCTCACTTCGAGGCTTCCATGTCAGTCCTCAGCTCTGCTCTATGTTAAAGTTAAATTGTGCAGAGTTCTAGCTGTCCGTATTGTAAGGTGTCTACATTTCAGCCTGGTGGATGATGCCGCTTGGGTATAGTTCAGGAGTTGTGTATTATCCAATATTTTTCGGTATTCTTGTTAATCGTCCTGTGTTCTCAGCTTGGGCGGCGGAATACTTTGCAGTATTGGCAGGGCTGAACAATATTGTTTCGTATGCGCACTTTAGCTATTGTTTTTTCAAGTATTTGAGGATTCTGTTCAAGGTCACACCAACGTACTTTGAAGTTGGGTTGTGCGTCACAAAATGCCCACAAACCGAATGTCTTGACCTGTCGCCTCTTTGTTATTGAAGTGGAAACATATGCACTCTGTTTTGTTTGGATTAGGCGTCAATCTCCATTTTCTATAATACCCATCGTCATCATCGCTGGTCAGAAATCCCTCCGTCTCTCCAAGGTGTTACGGCTCACAGCCAGAGCCAAATCATCTGCGTATGCAAATTTTATGCTATTATTATCCGGCATGTCGACAATATAGAGATAGAACAGAATTTACGGGAAGTTTCCTGGTTAGTCCGTTATTTAATATTTTTGTTTGGCTCTAAGTTTGTCCCAAAATAATACGGAAGAACCTGTCATTGAGCATGTTATTCAACAGCAACCCCAGTGTCTTACAAGGGATTACATTAAGGAAAGCGATCCAATAATGATGTATTTCCTCCAATCTTCGAATGAACTTGTGTAAACCACAGGCAATCGATCTCAATATCTATTGAGATTTATTTATTATTTCATATTTTCTCTGACAATCATATGGAGTGCTCAAAAATCATCAAGTATTCTATGGTAGTTGTGGAATTCTCTACCACCCAATTGCTATTCTTTGCCAAATAACCAGTTAAGTCATCTGGTATCTGGTCATCTAGCAGATCTGGTATTCTCTACCAGTGGTAATCATTTCTACTCAATTAGTATTCTCTGCCAGTCATTTGGCATTTTCTCTCTGTAAACTCACTTGGTTTCCAGATAATAGATAGCATTCTCTTTTTAACGAAACTCTGCTATTGAAAATGTATTATTTCCAGCATACAGCATAAAATTATAAACAATCCAATTCCCGAACTAGCTCAAAATATAAACACCATTTTTGGGCTTATTTTTCATATATTGACATTCTGAACTTTTTCTATTCAAGTAAATAATTTGTGTCATCTTCTATGAAGTTTGGGTTGGCATATAGTTTTTATAGCTATTAAGACTTTTTGAAACTACAAGTCGTATTTAAGTTTAATTAATTCTAGTTTGCATTCAATTATAGTCAGTGACAACCGTAAACTTTGATTCATTTTTTATGGTTACACAGTATTCAAATTTCTCATCACTCCACCAAAACGGTATTCAAATTCAGTCACTGTATAAAAAGATGTAAATGTTATTCATAAGTTTGCCGACACTTTCTTTTTTCTACTTTTCTTCTTGAGCGTTGCTACAAATTATCACATATCCTTAGGAAATGCTAAAGCTCCTTTGAGTGTTTTCTAAGTAACACATAATTAAACTTTTTATTTTATTTCCGATTATACATCTCGATAGTTTTCCTCCTGTATGTTTTCCCAAGAATAATTTAACATTAATGAAAGTGAATATAAAAGCATAGAGCAGAAAATTGATGCGTGCATGTAACTTTAAATACCTTAAATATATTTTTTAAGTTCTCTTCTTGTTTTTGGTTTCAATAAAAATGTGTTATCCCCAAAATTATTAATAAATCATTCTAATTTATTCAATTTGTAACCAAATTCAATGTATTTAGGTTAAAACATAGCTTGAAGTTATGGAATTCAAACTAAAACATTTATTACTTTAAATACCCATCAAAGACTCACCATTAATACATTATCATCCGGTCGTGCAAAATGCACGAGAGTTTAATAACTAAGGCGAACTATTAATTAGGCGTCGAGCAAAGTACGTAGTCGTTTCTCTCAGTATATCAGGTACTCGTTCCATTTTGCCCTTTAAGGCATTCCGGAAAATTACTATCGCAGTAAATCTACAATTCGCCCTTTCATTTCCCCGCCTACAATCGATCGATTCGCATTAAGTCGCAGTCACGCAATCATAAAAAGTCGTTGTTGTCCCGACGGAGTTCGCGCGATGGGGGTTTGAGGTTTTCGAACGAGGGGTGAGAGGAAGTTATATCAATTACGGATAATTCAGCCGATCGTAAAAGCAACAGTGACCAATCCCGAGGGGTATTCTATCGATTAGTTGTCGCATATGAACCAACCCGAATTTTTCGGCAGCAATTAAAACTGACTCAAATATCTAAAAAAACTCGATTTTGATTGTGTGCTCTATTACAGTTTCAGTATTTTGTGTATAGCGAGTAGCTCCTACAATGTAACTACAAATCGATATAGGTCGTTCACTGTGGGGAAGATTGCGTAGTAACACGTCCCTATGTCGGGCCGAGTACTTCCTATTCGCTTTGTTCTTCGTCTGTGTTTTACAGTCCATAATCGTGTTTACAACGTTGTATTGAGCGGCGCTTCCCCCCACGGAGGAATGCGACATTTGCGGACAAGTTAAACAACGACTCTACGATTCGCGAACGTTGGTCGTTCAAATTCCATCCATGTTGGACTATTCTTTCTTTTAAAAAAACAAACGTTATAGTGAAGGGAAAGTGCTTTTCCAGCCCCTTTTCCCATTATGAATCAGATTTGCATACAAAGTAGACGTGGGCTGGCCGTCAACGATTTCATCAAGATAAACGGTTGATTTAGGGACTAGCTGTGTAACCTCTGGCATCTTACTGAATTATTATTAAAATTTTTATGCTAGTTTGCTTTCATATGCAATAAAAAATCGTTATAATATAAAGTTGCTCAATATTGTTGAAATAACGTTGGGGATAAAATTAATACATCAATTATTAATTAATGTTATGTACATAAATGTGCCATTACAGGTATAAATTTTGTTTAAAATATTACTTTAAAATTACAGTAATAAACCAACCCGATTTCCGATAATACATCACACATAAAATTTGACATGGACATAATTTTCGTCTTCTATAGATGCGTCCTTCGATATTTAGCGGTTCGTCGGCTCGCAATCGAGCGTTGCAGAACCAGCCGAGCCCAAAGAAATATATGTATCAGTCATTTCGCTGTCGAGAACAGGTAAAACACGTATAGAAGAGGGACCTGGGCAGGTAATATGGAGAGAAGTCGTTGTGGGGACAAGGACGAATCCGATCCGCTAATAGGGATTTGCCGGCAGGAGGTTGAAGATAACTTGTAAGGATTACAGGAGGATCGATTTTAGAGCAAGCGGAACTAATAGCAACTCTGTACTATAACCGTCGAGGCTAAAATTCTTGCTAGAAGTATCGCTTCCGTTAGGTTGATATACATACGATGTGCGTGTGTGCAATTGCTCAACCAAGAAGGAAGAAAAAAGAACTAGTAATGTTGGAAATATCGGTGAATCATGCCACAAATTTCAAATAAAGAAATTTTGATATTTGCAGAATTTGCAATAATTTCGTTCTCTTTTCATCTTATTCCTCAAGCTAAAACAGCTGGTCAATGGTGAGTCTACCTGGTTTGAATCCCGCCCAGCACTTCTCAATGTTTTATTTCCTTTCTTTCACTAGCCTACGGCTTACTGTACATATGTGTAGGTTACACAAAGAGATTTTACATAGCCGAGCAGGTGATCTTTTTAGAATAGATTCAACTTGTATAAATAATGAAATAAATTGATTTGAGTATCTATTTCAAAAATGTTATCACCACTAATTGTTTAGACATGCGATCATTGGGACAGATAAAAGTGTAAATGTTAAGTTATGGAACTATAATATATCTGTATGAAACCGCCTACGCAGTTGGTTTTTCTTGAATGCAGAGCACGATTGTTGCGGATAAATTGAAGGTATGGACGTCATTTTCCCCTCGCTAATTAAAAGACTCCGTGCACATACCGGACGCGAAACTTGGCGGCACGATTTAATTATTTGTACAAAAAGGATCTCCATCCAGTGTTGGTCGCCGACAACGACGTTGTTGGCTCGTTGGAAAACCGTGGGCAGGGAGAAAGAGAGAGACTAACTGGACGAACGAACAACGTACAAATGAAATGGCCACTCGCTGACAGTCCGGCCTCCGATGGCAGAGTCTCTCTCGGCCCCCGGAGTGCTCCCCTCCGACGTCCCGTGCGTCCGCCGCCGGCCGCGTGAATTTAAACCCGGTCGAAATCGCCGGTCGAACAACGCAAAAAGAACGAAGACCAAGTGACGCCGCTCTACTGGTGAATTTTTAACGGCCGCGGTTAATGCACGGGCTGGAAAAATGCCGCGTTACACGGACTTGAACCGGTCGATTCAGGTAAATATGCTCCTTCTTGCTTTGTTGTTCGATCTCTCCGCCGACCGACCGACCGTTCGTCTCCTCGACTACTCTCTCTCGGTCAAACCGACGCGAGAGGTTAGTTTCGCCTTAACGCGTCTTTCGTGCGGCAGTTCGAGAAGCCAAAGACTATCGCAAAATCGACGAAAAAGTCGACGCCGATAACCACGTGACAATAAGCGCGTGTCGATGTGCTCATAACCTTCTCTTACTTTTGAATCGCACGTCGAAAGTGAACGGATTAACACCTACATAATAAATTATATGTGAAAAAGTGATAATTCAAGGTGCGTTTGTTATATTATTGTGTGTTCCGTCGCTACTAATAAGGAATAAGGATATTGAAGGATATAACTTGGTGGATACTCGGTGTTTTATTGCGTCTTTTACTGATCTAACGGAGTCTTTCAAATATCAGGTGGGGGTAAACAATTGGCAGTAGACGTTCTATTACTGTCTTGATATGTGAAGCAAGTCTAATCGTTTATTGGAATCCAACCTGGAATTCCATTTGAGTTATATAGTGGATCTGTACTCAGAACAAATACCTGTTTAGCCGTTTCGCATTGTTGTAGGTTCACTAACATACATAAAGCTCGTTCAACTTAAGATTATTCTCTTTGCATGTAGCAAAGTTAATATAAAAATAACTTTTTTGAACTTCAACTACAGTATCATGACTCAGAGCTTAATAGAATCTTTAGTATAGCAACCTAATACAATAGAAATCACCTTCATGGAGGCAATACTTATAAAATGTATTTAGGACGTTTTTTTTGACATAAATGAATTGTTAACCCACAATTTTACTTAGTGTTGTTTGGTGCTTTACATGTTGTTTAGATGAACTAGATCTAATTAGATCAAGTTCAATGATCAATGAATTGTGTTAGGAAAATCTAACATCTTATCTGCTTTAAAGCCTCCTCTTCCTGCAGGCTTATCTACTATCATCAAGATACTGTTCACATCACCATGTATTATAATGAATGGGAAACATTGACTTGTTATTTGCCCCACTTTTTGTGTTGAAAAACCTAAATCTAAACTTGTTATCTATCTAGATTGGATTAAGTTCGTGTTAGATGTAATGGTATTGTCATGTCAGTACTAGTAGAATTACAATTAATGAGTTATTAAATATTTGTTGAATAAGTAGATCCATTCTTTAACCAGTGCGGTAATTAAATAAATTCGAAAAATTGTATTACAACTGGTTTATTTTAAGTTTAAGTTCAACCTGACATGTTTCAGTCTTTTAAATGACCACCATCGGAGGTATCGTAAAAAGGACATATGAGGAATAACATATAACAAAATAACTGCTAGCAGATATGTGTGGAAAATGTCTTTGTGGATAGTATCAGGATAACCAGGAACCACGCTTACCTTCAACTATAGCGTGGTTCCCAGTTATCCTGATACTATCCACAAAGACATTTTCCACACATATCTGCTAGCAGTTACTTCAACTATAGCGTGGTTTCCGGTTATCCTGATACTATCCACAAAGACATTTTTCACACATATCTGCTAGCAGTTACTCTATTTTGTTATATGTTATACCTCATATGTCCTTTTTACGATACCTCCGATGATGGTCATTTAAAAGACTGAAACATGTCAGGTTGAACTTAAACTTAAAATAAACCAGTTGTAATACAATTTTTCGAATTTATTTTATTAAATATTTGTATGTTAGTCAATTCAAATCGAATTTCGTTCCGACTAATTCTCCAGGTATTTTGCATTATCGAAAACATTCTTGGCACATGTATGCGTTATTCACACCAATACCGGTGAATATGTTCAAAAAGTTTTGGTAGTTCATTGCAAAACCAAATTTAAGCTAACGAAGGCAACCAATATTATGGTAGTGGTACAAACACAATACAGACTATAAGCAAGTCTTATAAGTAGTAACAAATGTACAGGTTGCACTACGCACCCATGTAGCCATATTGTAAAGGGACGGATTAAGATTTTCCGGTACCGGTTTAAAAAAGAACGCAGGACTAAGCACAACAAAAGAAAAGGGGGTTATTAAACTCGCAACGTCCGTGATATGACCTCTTAAATAACACGATTTGACGTCAAACATTTTGGTTCATAGATGTCTCGTCAAGCGCGGTTTGAAGAACGAAAATAAAGTAAACAAAGTAAAAAGATTCCTTTTTAGATTCACAAATCTTATTATCATAAGAATATCACTTTCTTTTATCAATATGCTTCATTCCAAGACTTTTACGATCCCATACTAAAGTAAAATAAAGTGCTAATTTGATATAAACACTATCTTTGAGCAGTTCGCCACGAACTAAAGTTATTTTCCATATGATCGTTCTCTAAAACAACCCCCTAATCGGAACTCCTTAAATCTGAAACCTGAATTGTTCCTTATCTTGATAAGGATCTTCAGTGAAACAAAACGCAGTTCTTTCGTTCAAGCAAAATACTTAAATGAAAACTTAATTTTCAACAATAACAAAAGTTTATTTAATGTTAATTAAAGTAACTTTTGCAAATCATCATTATCAAAACATTAATTTTTAATTTGAACAAAACCCAATACTTCATTGAAACCTAACCAACTCTCAAAATTTAGTATAAACTTCAACTAAGCTTCAATTGTTAATTAATGATTAAAGAACTTCACCTCAACACGAAGTTTTATCGGATTTATTTAATTTAAAATCCACTAAAGAAAGTTAAATAAAACCGAATTCATTTCAAGAAACTTAATTAAACCTGAATATCTAACAAAAAATTTAACAGTTTCTTAAAAATCTGTGTATCAGATGTAATCTGTGTAGCAGAATAACTCTGCTGGGAGATAAAGCACCTCAAATGCAAAACGGGTTTTTTCTAAATTAGCCACAACACTTAGATCTTTATTTCTAGCAAGTAATGTAGTGTCGTCAAAATATGTGATTCCAGACGAATCTTCCAAAACATTTGTGCAAAATCAGAAAAGGAAGAGGTCCTTTTTGAGATTCCGAAATTGTATTTTCTTAATATTTGTAATAGCAAAACGGCAAGTTTTGTAACAGCATTCATATATTTCTCATGTTCAAACCAGGAATAAGCAATTTCCTCAAAGATTCTTATTGTTGTATTCTCTTTATGAAGTGATAAATAAATTGTTCTCCGTTCTTTGTTAATATTTACATTAAAGCTCTGATATATTCTTTTATCTTTCATGCGCTGTAAAATTAAGAATACAGTTATTCCTAGTTTCTCATGTTTGACTACCTAGTTTTAACCCTTAAGACTTTTTACTTGTAATATCGACTAAAGTAGTTTTGCTTCATTATAAGATGTGGAATTGCTGGGCTATTTAAACTGAACAGGTTCTACGCAACTCGTTGAAATTGCTTCGCGCCGGCTCTGGGGCTGTATGTCACTGATATTGTGTTGTCTTTATATGGTAGAGCTTAATTTTTGAATTCTGAGATATAGGATAATTTAGCAACTATTTATTCCGCTCAGCTACTTCGCAAACTACCGCTATATATCATTTTACCTCGACAAATAACAATAAAATCCGGAAGCTATAACTGCCTATAATTGCATAAAATCTGAAGATACGAAGGTACGTATTGCCTGTCTATAAATGGTTGTGCTGGTCACTTTTTAATGTGCAAAGGATAAACTAAGTACAACTTCCGTTGCTTGTGTTGGTAATCCTGCTAAACTATAAACTCATGAAAGTTGTTTGGTATCAAACACCTGCAGATATTTCTGTTTCGTGGTCCCCTACTTTTTCACACATAACATGTGTTCACTACGATAATCGTGTTTTGTGAAGAGCAATCTACAAATAGGCACTTGAAGAATGAGTTTTATCTAGTGTTAACCCTAAAAGATGTAAGTGGCTGTGTCGAGTTAACAATTATAGTTATAACTTCAAAATCATCAGTTCATATCTTTCAAAACTTGGGAAATGAAGTAAATAAGACTTTTTGGTTCTTTGTCGCTCGATATGTACCAAAGCATTACTACGTAATAATAGAATTTTGTGAAGTAAAGTAACTTCGTAGAAGTTGATGGAAAGCAGTTCCTTTATGTATCCCTAGACTTTAGCGAATAGTCTCGTAGGTATGTTCTATACATGCCCGCAAATCATATACATTATTAACAGTATGATAACAGTAACTGTATGATTATTGCACCAGAAAATTGTGATTTGGAGCGGAGAATCTTAATCATACAAGATCTAAAAACTACATTTATTATTAACCCTTATACCACCAAAATAATTGTACGAACATGGGCCACCATAACGGGTCAGTTTAGACCATGCATGGTGAATCTAGATCTTAGGTTTTTTTAAAGCATTAAAACCAAATATTAGATATACAGTATTAAACTATAACATGAATAAAACGTATAAAAAGGAACTCAAATATTCTTAATCATAAGTCATATTATAAACATTCTTCTTATTAGTCTCCATCTTCATCTTGTTTGCAGCGTGTACAAATTACATTTATTGTTTTTGTACTATGTATGTACAGGGTGTCCAGCTTTCGATGGGTTTGCAGGGTATCTCAGTTATTATAAAAGATAGAAAGTTGCGGCTTTCGCGAACCTGAGCTACTTTTTTGTGAAACTTACAATGCCGCAAACCAAATTTTCATAGCCCTCTTCGTTTTTGATATACAGGGAGTGTTTCAAAATTTACGATTTTCGTACACCTCCTGTATCTCGGCTATCCGAAAACGTAAAAACGGGTTCTAATAGATTTTTTNAGGCACTTGAAGAATGAGTTTTATCTAGTGTTAACCCTAAAAGATGTAAGTGGCTGTGTCGAGTTAACAATTATAGTTATAACTTCAAAATCATCAGTTCATATCTTTCAAAAGTTGGGAAATGAAGTAAATAAGACTTTTTGGGTCTTTATATGTACCAAAGCGTTATTACGTAATAATAGAATTTTGGGAAGTAAAGTAACTTCGTAGACGTTGAATAAAGAGTTAAGTATTTTAGAAGTTGAGTATTCAGTATTTGGGTTGTGTTTATAACTTAAAAACCGTGATGACTAGAAAAATTCTACGTGCACCATTGGATTCCACGTGAAAAAATCTATTAGAACCCGTTTTTACTTTTTTACTAAGTTTCCAGATAGCCGAGATACAGGAGGTGTCTGAAAATCGTAAATTTCAAACACACCCTGTATATCAAAAACGAAGAGGGCTATGAATATTTGGTTTGCGGCATTGTAAGTTTCACAAAAAAGTAGCTCAGGTTCGCGAAAGCCGCAACTATCTATCTTTCATAATAACTGAGATACCCTGCAAACCCATCGAAATTTGGACACCCTGTACAGTACACAAATTTAGTACAGGAATCACATTTTATAAAATGCTTTATGTCACTTCTTCGACATTGATGACATTGTCTCCGCTTTTGGGTTGCTGACGGTTTGGGACATTGGTAAGTTATTTTTCTTCCTGTACTTTCTATTTGAATATTTACACTTTTTGGTATTCCCTTTCTGTCTTTTTCAATATTTGATGGTCTTCGATTTATTTCGGGTTAGATAAGTAACGTACCTATTTCCTATAAGAACATTTTCCTTCAACTTTTGGCAGAAATTTCCAACCCAATTAGGTCTTTTTTAGTTACATCGATTTTTTATTTCAAGTTATATTTTTGGCAAATCCTTTCTATTTTTATGAACAGTCCCAAGTAATGTTAAATTTTTTGCGAGTTCTTCAGCTAATCGGTAAAAGAATTGTCTGTAGTAATATTTGTCCTTAATGTTTTCAGGTTTATTCCCAACTTATTCTAAGGACTTACTCTATCTATATATACTCCAGACTAAAGAACCATTCACACTTAGTTTGGTAGCTATTCTGTCGATAATAGTTGGACATTTTTTTTAAACTTCTATTTCTGCTTTAGCACCCGACACTGTCTTAGATCGCCTGGTATTATTTTTACTCTGCAACAATTTAAGTAATTTGAAAATAATTTATAGAATGGATTTAGCACAATTTAGAATACAACCACCGTGCTACATAATTTTTTGCAAAATATCCATAAATTCAAAATTAACAGCAGAATACATCAAACAGACATTGAATTTTATCAATGTCAATTTGACAAAAGTAAAAATTTATAACCAAATCAAAGTGACGTTCAAAATCAACTTTTATATTATTAGAGATTTGAATGTTATATTTTGTAACTCCACACCAATTTTTTATGTGGGAGTGTTATCTGTGGAGAAATAATCCATCTCAAGCTGTGCTTTATCACCAAACATCCTGAGGTTTGTGTTTGTATGAGAAACTCTAATGGGGATTTGCTTGGGTGGAAGTGCTTAGAACATCGTAAGACGGCTTAAGTGTAATCTTGTTGTTGCGTTTCATTACCTAACTGAAATTTGTGTATCACACTCTATGTTTTATCGGAACAAATATCGAACAAAAGGTGCAGAAGTGCATTTCCTCAAAAAACCAACGCCAAAAAGAAGAATATGTTTGGCAATTTAAGATGATTTTTTAAGCTTGTTTTAATAAAATTGTTAAATCTTTAATAAATCATTTTATATAAATGAATCCATAATCATTTACCTAATAGCCCATCTTATTGTTTTACATAATTTAACACCTTTAACTCAAATTCCATAAATATTAATCACATAATTTTATAGTGTTGTGATAATTCACGATTTCCGTTATAACGTCTCTAGGAATTCCTAGATTGAAAGTAGATAAGCACATTATGTCGAGAGTAGGAGAGTCTTATGACTCATTCGGTTTTCATGCCTTTAAAACTATTCCAACACTTGGCAGTGGGGCACAAATTTTTAAAGATCTATCGTGTTTTCGAATTGGAACCCGCCGCACCGCTCTCGGGCGTTTGTTTATAAGTCCATTAACGTGGTCGCTATGTGGCACCAGCACCGGCGAATTCCCGCATAAAATAGACACTTTACTGCTTCCAAGAGATACGGGTCATCATTTAATATTAACTCCCGACCGTTTCTCGCGTCGCAACGAGTGCCGCAGCCTATTTTGCGGTGATCGATGGCGTCCAATAATGTTCTCGAGATCTCACGATTCTATTAAATTTCCTTGTCGCACACAGTTGTAGATATACGTGTGCAGATTAAATGGTAGATATCAAGTAATTTGAAACTTTAACGAACGTTTATCAACTTTTCGTACAAATATCCAAGTTTTAATTAGGTAATCCTTTTTAGTTCACTAACTGGGTGTATGCTAATTAGGTATCGAGGAATTTACCCCTTCCAGTTAACTCGTAGGTGAGGCGACTCGACCCAGGGGCAGCAAGATGTAGGTCGAAGGTCACGGCCAGCGTGCAGGTCAAGTTCAAGTTTGTCGAGATCGACATAACCCTGTGACCTTGATTTGCATCCGAAACTCGCAGGATTGAAACAAATTACAATGTTTCCAGATCATGTTGTCGATGCGAATCGCGTTGTTATTTGGGTTTTTTTGAGGAAATCTAATAGTGTTGGAAACTATAATAGCACTTTGATGTTGGTTGTGCGATTCTATTTGAATTTTGGGAATTAAATTTTGTTTCAAATCATGTTTTAACTTATGGTCTTTTTGGAATTTGTACCTGCAATCAGTTATTTTGGATATTTTGAATATTTAAATGCTTTATTGTTACAGGTCATGTTGCATCATGGGCTGAATATCGCATTTTGGATCGCTGAGCGGAGGCCTCATTAACATCAGGTGAGTAAGCACTCCAGAACATTCTTCGGAGATTTGTCAATTTAGTCACGCAGCGGCGCGGTACATAGAACCGTCTCGGTCTACCCATTTTGTGATTATTGTGTGACCAAGAAAAAATGCCTAATTCGCCGAAATCACCCAACAATAGTATTTGGTATTTTTTGAATAATATAAGAAATTACAATTTTTGAATCACACTGACACTTACAATTTAAATTTCATCCAACAATAAACCCGACATTGTTATGCACGGCTTACTAACTTCTTCAAAACTTTTATACGTCAAAGTTTTCCGTAAAAATAAATAAATTCAAAACAATCAGCATCAATCTCTTTCCACATTTGACAGATTGCGAATGATTAGACAGTTTCGGCCGTGTAAATTTGTCATTCGATTAGAAAACGGTAAAAATCCGATGGCTGCACTATCGGCGAACAGTTTTTCGTGGACATAATTCGACCCCTCGGGCCCCTTTCGACCCCCACGGTCTAATTCCCGGTAAGTACCGTTCCCCTTTCGTTTGCCGTTCCATTACGTCACGCGATAACGCAAATCCGTACAAATTGCGTTCAGGTACGAGAATACGAACCGGTCTAATACCAACTGAATCCGGCACGTTGGTTGTTGGAATGAGTTTAGTTAATTTTCGGTGATCAATTTGCTTGCTGTTCCCCGCTTGCCTGTTTACTGGTTTTGCTCGCTTTTGCCTGCTGGGCAAGTTGGTTATGCAAATATTCAGTTGGTGAACCGGTTTAATTCTGCTTTTATATCAAATATGGAGGTATTAATTATTTGATGGGTTTCACAATAGTTATAATGAGAGACTGAATTATTAACATTTATATAATTATTTATAAAACTTTTTGTTTTGCTACAATTGTTATATATACAAATTTTGAGTTACTATATGGTCATAATCTTATAATGCAATAAATATCATCTATAATCATAACCTCACGTATGTTATGTTTATAGTACGGTGTGGATGCAGGAAATCCTAAAAGAAAATTCATTTCTAACTAAATAAAGGTATCAAAAGATGTAAGGGTGTGAGCTCTGAAGATTTAGGTGATTATTCTTTGTGGGGGTGCTCCATCATGATGACACTCGAGGTCCATTCATACGGATTTTCCTTTGCTACAACAACGCATCAATATTTCCTTTAATAATGTTAAGTATAGCGCTGGAACCAGACTTCTGTAAAACGTCCCACGACAAATGACATGATTTGATGATATGATTTCAAATTATTTTGGTCTAAACAGTTTTTAAAGATTGATTTTTAAAGTAAAATTGTTTCCAATTATCAAAAAAATTTTATGACTTTAAATTTTCACTAATATCAATTTTGGATTACGGGATATCGTTAAAAATCAGTTCTGCCCAAAATATTTTATTGCATAACAATAAAACCCTTCCTGGTAAACGTTTATTTCTCTATGTACCTGGCTTAAATACTATTTCGGATGTTCAAGCAATATTTTTTCTACCATTTTTTGCTCTCTATTTTGAATCACAGAAAGTCTGTCCACTGCAATCACAATGGCTATATATGAAAAAGAACAACAACGATTAAGCCAACTTATCGACGTATGTTTGCGAAAGATGGAAGAGGAAAAAATCGACGAAGTAGCGAAAAATCTTGCTGGCGAAGAGAACCCGGAAAATTCTTTTAGTGAATAGGACATAATGGAGAGAGAACAAGAACCAACAGCAGGACCATATTTTATTGGAAAAGATGCTACAAAATGGAAAAACCACGATCCACGTCAAAATGTAAGAACGCATGCTGAGAACATAATAATATTTGCCAGGACCAAAAGCTTTCCCTAAAAAGTATTAAGAATTATTTAGAAATTTGGAAGTATATTTTCAACATAAATATAATTGCTTGCACCAATAAATATATTCAAAAACACCAAAGGCACTACAGTAGAGAAATTAATACGAAGTTGGACTTCTTTATTTGGGTAGAGTAGTGAAATCCAATCGGTTACACGTTGCAGATTTATGGAGCACAAGTGAAATACACAACAGCGAAAGAAAGGATAAAATGAATATGTCAGCGACCAAAATTAAAGTCTTAACTACATCTAGAACACCACTCAGGTGCAAACTAGAAATAGATAATAAAATTATACAGCTGGAAATGAAGTTCAAGTATCACGAGTAAGGTGATGTTGAAACGGAGGTGAGGGGATAAGCCATGAAAGCAGCAAGAACGGCCGCATGTTTTAACAATACCATATGGAGCAATAAACATATCGAAGGAATCGTAGTTAAATCCAGATCTACAAAACAGTAATCATACTGCAGAAACTAGTCCAGAAACCTCAATAACAAAACATATACTGGAGACAACGGATATGGCAAAGTAGTTGGCAGGACAATTATGTACCGAGAAAGGAGTGAGGAAATCAGAAGAATGTGTAAAATCGATAACATTAGTAACTGGACAAAGAAATAGTGTATGGAATGAACACATCAAGTGCATAATCCACGACAGAATAGTATAGATCACGAGGATCAAATCATCAATGCGACGTAGGAGTATCGGAAGACCCTGTAAACGATGGAGTGATAACCTCGCAATAGACTGAAACCAGGCAAAGAGACGAAGAAAAACAAGCTTGCATATAAGAAGGAAGAAGAAATGGAACAGGAATGGAATTATTTCGATTAGAGATGCGGAATGAAAGAGAATCAATCGATAGTTAGCTCCTATGAGAGATACATGTGATGTTTTTGTCCAAAATTGTATAGTATATTTTGTACTATACATATCTACTATGTATACTACAAAATATAAAATAAAATATAAATATCTTTTGCACCATTTGAATATGTTACAGTCGACGAAAAATTAGAAAGATTTAGGGAACGATGTTCATTTCAGCAATACATTCCAACCAAGCCAAATAAATATGGAATTAAGATATTTGCTTTGGCTGATGCAAAGACATACTTCGCTTGCAACTAACAAGTGTACGTAGGCATTCACCCAAAGGTCTGTACTTATGTAATTATTCTTCTCATGCTGTAGTAGAAAGGTTATGTAAACCACTAAAAAAAAGTTCAAATAGAAATGTGACTACGAATATTTGGTTCACATCAGAGGCTCTGATTAACACTATAAGAACCAAATTTAAATTAATTGACCTATTTGGGAACAGTCAGAAAGAACAAACGCAAATTACTTGTGGAATATGCTTCTGCCATGTACGGTTTTCATAAAAATGTTACTTTAGTTTCATATATTTCTAAAAGAAATAAAAATGTTCTATTATTATCACGTTTGAACCGTGATGACGAAGCGTGACATGATAATGTGCTGCTTAGAATTGTGCAAGGAATACGCCAAGGTGGCCAATGTTGTCTTGCTAAATACAGCCGTAATTTCGTCGAGGAGAATTTTTCCAAAATTTATCTCTTGCGCTAGTAAAAGACTGTCTTTGCTAACGTATGGAACAATGTATTCCAAAACCAATCAAATTCAGAATACAAGCGATTCTAAAGCTTGATGTAAGAACAACAACCGCAAACATCCTCGAATGTAAGAGTAACAATGGTGTAAAGAATCGTCCAACCAGATTTTCATGTAAAAGGTGCTTATATTTATTTGTGATGATACTGTTCCAGTTTGTTTCGAGTGTTTTGAAGAAATTAATAGCATTTTGTAGTTACATATAAACAATAATTTATTTAGTTACAATACCGTATTTTCTCGAATCTAATCTGCACCTTTTTTAGAAATCTTATATGCTCTAAAATCAAATGCATATTATAATCGGGTGCGGATTAGATTAGGTTAGGTCGCAGTCGTGTAGTTGAAATTTAGAAATAGTAAAATAAAATACTTGTAGTCTTTCGGGATGTCTTTGGATTTCGGAATGGTGTTTCTTCTCCATATTAACAACGGCGGCAATGTTTCCCCATCACCAGATTCACTTTTACTTGCAATTTTTCGCAACCACTCGTTTCTAAAGAAATTTCTCTCTAGTGTGTAATCGGGAGGCATATCTAGATATATTGCCATTTCGTCGGTATTCGCAGTTTGAGACAAATTGAAATTTTCTTGAAAATCATTTTTAGGAGCTTTTAGCAAATTATAATTCTGCGTCCAATTTTTGCTAGCATTAAAATTTTTTTGTCCAATATTCAATGAATTTCCTGTTTTTATCGTTTCCTTACGAACTAAATAGTAACTTATATTTAGTCCCTCTTTTCATCTTTCTTGAAAGAACCGGAAAACTGCCTCGTCACTTTCATGAAATCATCTCTTCTTTGACCCAGTAAATTTTTTGTACGATGCCTCACTGTCTGCAATAGCTGTCTTGTGTTTGCGCCACAGCCGAACGTTACTCTCATTAACGTCAAAAATTGTACCAGCTTTTCCTTCTGTTAACGCCAACTCTGAAAGGAGAATCTTTTCAATAATTATGCATACAACACGTTCGACCTACTACAAGAGCAATGTATGTATTGAATCCGTGTTAGACATTACTATTTGTTTTTAAAATTATATTTATTATACAATACTTAATAAAACTTTTATTACAATAGATTTGACGGTTTCTTGTTGATCTCGAAGTAAATAAAAATTACCCACACTTTTTTAAAATAGTTACAGATCTTCATAACTTCTGATAGTGGGTAGTTCAGATTCTATTTGGAACACCCTTATTCTTTCCAATTCAACTTTTTCTGAATAAAAGTAAGATCATTTTTTATCCATGTCTCTTACGATTTTGCTCCACTTCTTTAGCTAAATGTATTACTTTAGTGAAAAGAGAGGACAGCATAGAGCATGTTCAACTTGTCTTACATATGTTACGGTTTGTTGACATGGTTTCACTGCGAAACCCGTGTGTTCTTCTTTTGAATGAAAACAAATCCAGTTCAAATTGAGCTACGACGAAGAGCTTGCGAATTTCTTCTAGTAGAGACTCAGAAATATATAAAAATGAAGAAGGAGAATTGCTCAGGAACGTGTTTTGAG